CAACTGATCTTTGACAAAGGATATCAGTCAATCCATTGGGAAAAGGAAAACCTCTTTAGTAAATGGTGCTGGAAAAACTGGGTATCCACCTGCAGAAAGATGAAACTGAACCCCCATCTTTCACCATTAACAACAGTCAACTCAAAATGGATCAAAGATCTGAACCTAAGACCTCAGACAATAAAACTACTTGTGGAAAATGCTGGGGAAACTCTGGGAGACATTGGAGTAGGCAAAGACTTCTTAAATAAGACTCCCAAAGCACAGGCAATAATCCCTAAAATAGACAAGTGGGACTATATTAGACTAAGAAGTTTCTGCACAGCAAAGGACACAGTAACAAGTGTGAACCGACAACCCTCAGAATGGGAAAATATTTTTGTTAAATATGCCTCAGACAAGGGACTGATAACGAGAATACATAGGGAACTCAAGTGCCTTATGCGAAAAAAAATGATTAACCCGATTAAAAGATGGGAAAGTGAGCTGAACAAAAGTCTCTCTAAGGAAGACATACGAACAGCCAAAAAGCATATGAGGAAATGCTCGACATCCCTCATCATAAGGGAAATGCAGATAAAAACCACAATGAGATACCACCTAACCCCTGTCAGAATGGCAAAGATTAAGAATATAAAAAGTGATAAGTGTTGGCGGGGATGTGGTGAAAAGGGAACCCTCCTACACTGTTGGTGGGAATGTAAACTAGTTCAACCACTGTGGAGAACAATATGGAGGTTCCTCAAAGATCTACAAATAGAACTACCATTTGATCCAGCAATCCCACTTCTGGGTATTTACCCAAAAGACAGGAGAACGCTCAGTCAGAAAAGTGCTTGCACATCCATGTTTATTGCAGCATTATTCACAATTGCCAAGACATGGAACCAACCTAAATGTCCACAAACTGATGAATGGATTGGAAAAGTGTGGTATATATACTCTATGGAATACTACTCAGCCATAAAAAATAACAAGACCCTGGAATTTGATAGAAAATGGTCAGATACGGAGGATCTATTGCTGAGTGAAGTAAGCCAGGCTATGAAAGAAAGATATTGTATGTATCCACTCAATATATACCGACTATCCGCACTCTATAATAGAGAGCAAAAATTCGGAGGACATAAACACAGTGAAGGTACTTAATGAGAATAGGACAGTGTGGAATGGGGTAAGTGAAGAGAAGAGGATAGAGAAAGATAGCAAGTGAACAATAGAGAGACAGGACGTTAGTGAGAAACAGATAGGGCTTATTAACTGTTGATGATGACATGTATAGAATTCTCAACTGGATTGGTCTGAGAAGTGTTTCATGATGGGCAAAGTATTTTTACAAGCAAAACGAGAAATAGCAATTGACTGTTTTATAAAAATAATTAGAATAATAAAGATAATGATTGGGGAAAACAGAAAAGATATGGAATGTTGAAGTGGGGAGATTAATGTCTCTGTACTGACTGACGTGCATGGCATTCCCTTTTGAAGAAACAATGTAACACACAGTAAAGTTATATGTAATCCAATGTAATATGAAGAAGATATGATGATAAAAAATAAAAATAAAAATAAATAAAAAAAGAAAAAAGAAAAAAAAAAGAAAGAAAAAGAGATCAATATAATGTGGTAAGGAGCTCTGTGTGTTACTAGATAGAAGAAAAACAGGCAGGAACATTAATGAAATAGTGGCCTGTTTTTTTCTGTGGCATGGTGCTTTAGGGCCTGTGGCAGTTTCTGTGGGGGAGAGGCTGCAGGTTTTCTATTGTGATGCATCAGGTTCCAGGGCAGCTGATTGGTTGAGAAAGAGTATAAAGCCTCTGAGTTGCTAAGGCAGTGACCAAACTGGAGAAGGCTTGGAGGAAAGCTGGAACTCCCCTCCAACTGCTTGATCCTGAGAGTCCTACTCAACTCCTATTCTGCTGGTATGCTGACCCACCCACACACTGAACTGCCTCTGACCCTCCTCCCAAACTCTAGCACTTTGTCTCTCTCCAGTTCTTCCCCCTAGTACCTTTCTCTACTTCTTTCCAGTTGCCCAATACTTCCCTTCTTGCCCTGTCCCACTCCCTTCCCTTCCCCTATAAGACTCCTTCCCTTCTCTTTTCCATCCCCACCCCACCCAGCGCCCTCTGAACCCCTAGTCCTCCCACAACTCTTCCTTTGCAACCGCCGGACATCTACAGAGGATAAAGACATGATGTCAAGTATGTTCTTGTGTGCCCTCCTGTTAGTACATCTCTATCATTTCAATGTGAATGTGAGTAACACTGGGCCTGAACAGGCTAAGCCTCCTTCACATTGGGCTATTCCACTCTGTGGTTCTCATAACAACGCTGCAGGGGGTCGTGGGTGGTATCTCAGCCCTTCTTTCTGGCCAATTTGAGGTCCTCGTATAGCTCTCCTGGCCAGACCACAGAAGTCTAGTCTCAAGTGTCCACATCAAGTTTAGCTTGGTCCCAACACATTAAGATTGACTTTAGAGCATCAAAATAGAAAGATTTTTAAATATAATAAAAGCCATTGAATCGAATGCTTTAGCAATGGGAATACTGTCATATGTGATTATATGTCAGAAAAGTTGTTTTGGAAAATGTAAGAAGAGACTTTGTTTTAACAGGAGTCACATTCAGGGTGCATTTCAGTTTTAAATATCGGTATGTTTCCTCCAAAATAATGAAGCATGCTATTGACTAAGATTCCTTTTTTTTTCTCTAAAATTGGTCTTTTTTAACCTTGCATGTGTCAGAATGTGCTGTTTATTGAATGAGATAGTAACAAAAATAAGTAATTATCTTGATTCACCACCAGAAATGATTAATTTTTAATTCTCACATAAGTAAGAAGTTCTTTTAAATATCGGTATGCTTCCTACAAAATAACGAAGCATCTCATTAACTAAGATTCCGTATTTTTGTCTAATGATGGACTTCTTTTAACCTTACATGTGTCAAAATGTACCATTTATTGAATGGGATAGTAACAAAAATAAATTATTATTATCTTGATTCTCCTCCAAAAATGGATGATTATGAATCCTCACATAAGTAGGAAGTTATTTTTCACTTTTTTTAGTTTTAATCTGATGATTTCATTTTGATTATGTGGAATTACTTAACTATTCTACTCATTGGTTTAGTGTTTTAGACATCTTATTAGGAACTGTGGATATTTCATCAGTATGTTTTCACACAAGATTTAATTTTATTTCTCCCTCTTGTAGAGAAATCCTCAAGAAAATAAAGGTAAGAGTTTAGCCTTTTTTATATTTGAAGTCCTAGTGTTTCATGTGAGTCCTAATCCAAGTGGGAGTATATAGTAAATATCAGCATATATGTTATGAAAATGAGATAGGTTGGTGGCTTCTTAACTGTGGACAATTTTACTCTTTCTGGTTGAGGTCTAAATGACAACATGGAGGGAATTGCCATCTATTGAGATAAGAGGTCAGGCCAAGAAAGTTTATGGGAGCAAGGGGAAGAAGATCAGTTTAGTTTTGCAAAGATGTGGTTAGGAAGCAATAGTGAAGGGAATCTGTATTTCAGAGGGAAAACTTTGGCCTGACCTCCTCTTGAGAATGGAAAGATGATTAGTTCATACCAGAGGCTATCAAGAAGCTTAAGGCTTAGAAAGTACCCAGATGATGCCCGGCAAGATGTGTGACATAATGGAGGTTTATACTATTTGTTTGGAGTCTTACATGTAGAGAATCATTAACACCAGGGGAAAATGAGTAGAGATGAACTTGATTCAAAGTGGGGGTGATGCATTCTGAATGTACTTCATAGACTGTAATGATTCAGGGTGCTGTCTGGTGATAGCCAGGGTGGCTGCCTGGCACAGATGCTGAGGTGTGTCCCAGTGACTGCAGCAAGGGTGGTGGTCAGAAGATTGACCTCAGGCAACAGAGCTCTTATGATGGGCAAGTAAAAAATAAGTTAAGACTCCAGCAGATGAGAGATTCCACACGTGGCAGAGGAGTCTAGAATTATGAGCTCTTATTGAAGACATTTTCTGGTGCTACTTATCTGCAAGATGTTGCTTTTGGTATGTTGTTCACCTTTATGGTGGTGGCATTTTCTTCTTGGGGATTAAGAAAAGCTTGGAGAGATTGTGAGTTATCTCAATTTTTTAAAAAAAATTATCTAGGATGTGTTTTAACACCAGGGAGAAAGAAAAAGAAAGAAAGCAACCCCCTGTGTGTCTTGCTAATATTCCTTTCTTCCTCCTTTAGGGATTGTGGGCATAGATATACTGAGGCCCGTGTGTTTTTCAAGATACTAGGCCAGGGATTCAAAGGACAGTGGGCCATATGGTATTTGTATCCATCCCTTCATTACTAGTCTACAGAGCCAGCCCTAGATTGGCCTTGAGGGACTGAGTGATAAAGCTAAGATTGTACCTAAGTTATATAGTTCAATTTCACACACCATGTATGTGGAGCTCTTCATCCTGCTTCTTTTGAAAGATATTTTGTTGGGTTGCAGAAAAAATTAGAGGCTTCTGAATAGTTTGAATGTTTCACAGAGTGGCAGGACATGGTGAGAATAAGGAGGGTTTTATTTTTACTTTTATTTTTTGGTAGGAGCCTATTTATTTGCTTTGATAATTGAAGGACAGAAATGTAAGTAGATAAGATGCTTGTTTTTTGTTGTTGTTGTTTGTTTGTTTGTTTCATCTCTTCTAATGATACAGCTATGTAATATGCTCAATTTTCTAAGAATGGTGCCTTCTATTAATCGGAGAGTAATGAGGTGAAGATTGTATTTCCTCATCTTTGAAATTACATAGGAAAAACATTATAATGGAAATCTCATTATTATATGACTTTTTAGATTGGAATTGCCACTAGCTAAAACTTTCTTCTGATTCAGAATAGTAAAATGAAAAAGTAATTTGTGTTCATAGTGATAATGTGTGACTGCTAAATATGCTTTGGATTACTTCAATTTTATTTAGTTTTCTCAATAAACTTTGTATTATTTTCCTCTCCTTTTAGTTAATTTACAAGAAGTATCTAAGAGGATCAATAATGAGAAGAACGAAAACAAAGAACTTATAGAAAATATATCTGTTTGGAAAGAGAAGGTATTTTTTTTCCCATAAACTTTTTACAATGGTTTCATGTTGAATTTCTTTCACCTCTGGTAGTTCAATTTTTGTGGTACTTGTATCTCTTCATTTTATCTGGTGTCCTTATTTCATATGTTCTTGAAATCACCCACATTTATAGTACTCCTCACATGTGGAAAACTACTTATTTTTGTATGTAGAAGGTCACATTCTTGAAAATTGACTTTGTAAGCACTTCAGTTTATCTTCCGAATTCTAATTCTTATATATTTATGTAGGCCTATGAATTCAAAACGTTGCTTCAAGAAAATAAGCATCTTTGATGAATTATATTTATTTTATATTTAAGATACTTCCTCCAACCACAGACATGTTTTAGAAAGGAGGCAGTGAACATCATACCTTGAAAATAGAAATAAAAGAAATGAGTAAATGTTTCTGATTCCATATGGTTTGTTGAAGGACAACATCCAAAGATTGGAAGAAACTATGGAAACTCTGAATGTCATTCAAAGTGTACATTCTAGATTGCAATGTGAGAGTGCTGGAAATGTAAAGACTCAGGGCTTAGAGTTTGGCTGCTCCATTTTATTCTAGTTTGCCTTCTGAACCTTTATGTCTATGTATGATCTGAGCTCTGTATTTTCTCTTGTTGTTGATGATAGTCCGCATTGGGGGGTGGGGGAGTCTGAGGGCCAATCCTCCTCCTGAAGTGTATTGGGCAACCGATGTACTAATAGCAAAATGACTTTTCATATTTAAGGGACTAGGAAGTATGTTTTTTTTATTTTATTTTATTTTATTTTTTGGAGAGATTTTCGCTATAGTGTGTATGCACTCGCCAGACAGGCAGTGAGAGACATAGAGACAGAAAGTGAGAAATCACCCCCGGGGGGATGGTCACTCCACAATCCCTTCTCCTCCATTCTCCTCTTGGGATCTTGGGCACACACACACATGCACCCGGCATGAGTTTTAAGCCACCAGGTCCGGGACTTGAACCGTGGTCGACTATGTGGGAGTCCAGCGACATAGCCATTACGCTAACTGCTGGTTCCTAGGAAGTATGTTTTATTTTTTAAAAATTGGGTGATGATCATGCTATTCAACACTGCCCTCTAATACCTAGACAAACTGAAAAAAAAAGTGAGAGATGAGAGACAGTGTGTAGCCAAGTTGAATAGTCTGTACCCCTCTTAATGTGGAACTGATGATTTTCAATGTGAACTTTAGGTTACTATTTTCTAAAATTATTCCATTAAGTAAGCCATTTCTCTTAGTTTTTATCTTGAAGTGTTTTTTGTTTTCACTATTGGCAGAGGGCATGCGTGCTAGACAGAGAGAGAGAAATAAAAAAGCACCACCCCACCCCCCCCCCCAGTTAGGCAGAATTGAGCCACAGTCTTCCCTCCCCATTTCTCTATCCCATTAGGATACACACGCACACACACACACACACACACACACACACACACACCCGCATGTTT